TGCGGCTGGTCTCTGAGTGTCTGTCCCAGGGACAGATGAGGGTGTCCTGCTCCTCTGTGGGAGGAGACAGTCCTCAGTACAGCTGGACTCTGGATGGACGTGAACTGACAGATGACGAACTCCTCTCTGGAAATACTGGGTCTAACAGCATCACTCTGAATGCAGACATCTCAGGATATCTGGTCTGCTCTGTCAGGAATCACTTCATGGGTGTCTGTGGTGAGCGTGGACGTGACTAAAAATAACTTGACAGTTACAAAACAGATTATTGTGATCCGATGTACATCTGTTCATAAATTATCTGTTTGTTTGTTCATAGGCCTCATATTCAGTAACTGCACCTCATCCAATGGAACACAAACGTCAAAGATGGAGCTTGTATCCAATGACATTGTGTGTATTGCACCAACACCGTCCACCACGTCCACAGTTGGCAAGGACACTGGCATAGAGTCAATTAAACCCTCCACGAATATCACATCCTCCAAAGATGAGCCATGTTACGGTAGGTGGAAACTCTACTGCGGTGGTTTCATTGGTGCCATTTTCTCTGTCTTTCTCTGTCGTCTTTATAGAGACACATGCATTGTCCACTCAGCTGAAGATCTGTGTTTGTTTCTTTTGTCCTTGTTACAGATAATCTGAGTTGATAATAAGCAGAGTGCTCACAGCACTGCTAATTTTCTTAGCTGTCAGCATTGCGGTCATCAGTTCTCAGAAGAAAAAGCAAAGCACCAAACTAAACGTTTGTTTAGTTTACATTGTTAGTATAGTCCAAAGCTCACTGATCATAAAGCAAACTGTTGTTATGGTCAGAAAAGATCTGATCCAAGTCTGTATTTTCAGTCTTTAGCATCATTGTAAATGTCAGAAGGAAACATTATCCACATGAGCCACACTGTAACTCTGCAGTTGTTTTATAAGAAATGTTTAAAACTGATGCAGAAAATCATAGAGTCAGATATTGTAGTGGCTATTTGTCCTGAGATGAATAATCAAAATAAAAATACAATTTTAAAAATAATAATAAAACAAAATCAAATCAAACGGCCACTAAAGGAACCTAACGAATTAATTTACACCAGGAAAATAAGTCCATTGTCCAGGCAAAAATATAAAGTTTTTCAGATTATTCCCATTGCAAGCAAACAATGACTCCTGCCGCCTCTCATGCCCTGGTAAAAAAAACCATGGTTAGCTGTCTTCTGAAATGTTGTACTAAATTTAAAGCTTTGAGAAAGGATCTCTGGATTCTCTGTGTGTTACTTTGAAATGTGTCTGTTGTTCTGCTCCTTGGTACACTACAAGATAGGCAGAGTTCAACACACATAGACTTAAAAATACTGGGTGATATGAATAAAAAATGGCACTGAGTGTTTTACGAAAACTTTTCACTGAAACACAAATGATTTAATGTCACATCCTTCAATCAAAGTGTGACTCAGCAGAATTGAGCCACAGTACAATAAGTGGAAACTCTCCTGTCATGGCTCTAACTTGACATGTGATTTCTGTGTCTCTGAACAGATCAGTCTCTGCTCGTATGTGGTTTGCAAGCAGGAGTGTTCATTCTCTCAGTAGCTGCGATTTCCATCTTTTTCACCTGCAAGAGAAAGAAATGCAAGAAAGCTGAAGCCCTTGCTGTCGCACAAACCACCGAATATCCAGAGAACTCTGTTGTGATGGTTGAAATGTGAAGTTCTGCATCTTAAACTCACGTCACGTTTTACCTGCTGTGATTTGTCACGTGCCTTCCTGGGTGAGAAAATTGTGACTTTCTGTCCTGGTTTCATTCTTGTCATAGCTTAGTAGCTCACTATTAATTCCCACATGAACGTTCTGTGAGTGTTTTCTGAATCTGTACCACTGTGGAGCTCTGATCCAGCAAAGGTTTTGTATACAGTGATCACAGGTGGAACAGTCTGGCTCTTTTTATTTGTCACTTTACTGGCTGTTGA